TCACCCACTCAGCTGCCCTGTCACCAAGTGCTCCCACAACGAGCCCTGAGTTCATCGGATTCTTCCTGTTCCTGGTCATTATGGGTAGACACTTCTACCCATACAGTCCTTACAAAGATACAGTCCTTGCTTCCAGTTATTCAGTTGCACATATTCACTTTTTATTCTGCATAACAAATTACCACAGATTGAGCACTTACTACACATGCATTATCTCACAGTCCCAAGAACCGGAGTCTGGATATGGGTTAGTGGGTTTCTCTGCATAACATCTCACTAGGATGAAATTACGGTGTTGGCCAGGACTGCAATCCTGCCCAAGGTCCAGGGCCCTCTTCCAAGCACACTTGTTACTGTCAGAATTAACATCCTAGTGGCTGCAGGACTGAGGCCCCTACCCGCTACAGGTTACATGCCATTTCCTGCTGTGTGGCCTTTTCTAAAGATGACAGTTTGCTTCTTCAAGGCAAATAGGAGACTATCTCAGTTGCTTTGAAGCTCTCTGACTTCAGTAAAGACCTAATTCCTTTTAAAGTTTCATCTGATTAGGTCAGGCTCACCCTGGATAATCTTCATTTTGAGTAGCTCAAGTTCAGCTGATTTGGGACCTTCATTGCTATCTGCAGAATTCTTCATCTGCATCATCACAGGAGTGAAATCTATCAAACTCCCAATCCTACCACACTCAAGGCAAGGGATTACACAGGGCATACACCACAGGAGGGAGGAGTCTCAGGACCACCTTGGAATCCTATCTACCACATGGATGATCAATTTTGATGAACTAATGCTTTCAGATTAACGCTCCTGAATCAAGCCACCATCACACTGCCCTTCTCTTAAAATAATCTTCATCGGTTCTACAAAGAATAGAGAATGAACTCCAAGTGCACTAACCTGAAACTCCAGGCCTTTTTCAACATTGCCCAGGAGTCGTTTTCAACCTTAACTCCATCAGGGCCTCCCATGAGCCCTCTGTCAGGTCCTTGCTCTGCTTAGCCAGGACTGAGTTCTGTTTCTGTATTCCTTTTCACTCTCCTCCAGGGTGCTCTGCCCTTTCCCTCCTCTTCCTTATTCGAAACCTGTACAGCCTTCAGGATACTGTAAAGACACCCGAATAAAACCTTTCTTGACCCTTTGGACTCACAATGAGCTTATTCCTGTGCACACGCCCTTTTGTGATGGAACTTAGCCACTTATCATGAAACATGGGCTGGGTTTCCCCATGTCTACACTGTGGAGTGGGCCCTATGACTTTCTCTAGCCAACTGGACATTAGTGGACACAATGCAAGTAGACACTTAAGCCCCTGTGCCCTGGGGTGTGCCCTCCTGCTTTCTTGGGAATGCTGATTCCACCACCATGATTGAGGCTAGACTAGCCTGCCAGATGATGAGGGACATGAGGCCAAGTCACTCCTGTGGCCCTAACTCTGGGCCAACCACCTATCACATGAAAAATAACAAATGTCTGGTGCTTTAAGTCTCAGAGCTCTGTGACAATGTTTGCAGCAAAATTTTTACTTTCTACGAGAAAAAAAATTCAAGGTCATTCTTTTTTTTTTGTGAGTTGGAGTCTCACTCTGTCACCCAGGCTGGAGGGTAGTGGCATGCTCATGGCCACCACAGCCTCGACCTACTAGGCTCAGGCGAAACTTCTGCCTCAGCCTTCCAAGTACCTGGAACTATAGGCATGTGACACCATGCCCAACTAATTTTTCTTGATTTATTGTGGAGATGAGGTCTCATCAAGTTGCCCAGGCTGGTCTCAAACTCGTAGGCTCAAGCAATCCTTTCACATCACCCTCCCAAAGAACTAGGATTATAGGCATGAGCCACCACGCCCAGCCAAGGTCATCCTTTTTAACCACATTTATTTTACTCAATTTCATTCCAGTATGCTTACTTTATTGAGACAAGAGTTCTTTACAGACTGCAATGGAGAAATTGCATGTGAATCATAGTCTGGCTTTCAATGTCTAGAAGCATCCATGGGAGTGGACCATAAAATTATCAAAAATATTTGACTTTTAAAGGTATAAGTAATCCAAGTGTCCCTCAACAGATGAGTGAGCAAAAAAATGTGGTATATCCATATACTAGAGTCTATAGGCTGGAATATTATTCAGCCATAAAAAAGAATGAGGTTCTGACACTGTACATGTGACAACATGGATGAACCTTGAAGGTATTACACTAATTGAAATAAGCCAGGCTCAAAGGGAAAAATATTGCATAATTCTACTTATAAGTAATATCTAGAATAGGCAAATTTATAGACAGTAGGTTAGAGGTTATCAGGAAGTGGGGTGAATATCACACAACATCATAAATGCAATTAATGCAACTGAATTGTGCACCTAAAATGGCAAATTTTATGCTAGATATTTTTACTGAACTATTTTAAAATTAATGATGTAATGTGCTAAACCCCTTGAATTGTACACTTTATTTTCTTTTTTGAGACGGGGACTTGGCCAGTCAAGCTGTGATCATAGCTCACTGCAGCCTTGAACTCCTGAGCTCAAGGGATCCTCCTGCCTCAGCCTCCCAAGTAGCTAGGACTACAGGCAAACACCGTCATGCCTGGCTAATTTTAAAAATTTTTTATTTTGTAGAAATGGAGACTTGCTATGTTGTGCAGGTTAGTCTTGAACTCCTGATCTCAAGCATTCCTCTGACCTTGACCTCTCAAAGTGCTGCGATTACAGGTATGAGCCACCACACCTGGTCCAAACTGTATACTTTAAATGGGTGAATTGTGTGGTATGTGAATTATATCTCAATAAAAGCTGTACCAAAAAATTTAAAAACACACACACACAAATCACACTTGGCTTAACTTTTCTCCTTAGATGGCAACTGCCAAGCACTTCCCTTTTTACCTTCACTGCCAGGAAACTCAAGACCAAGTTGTATGTTCAAGTACAACCATTCAGCAGGCACACAGATGTGCTAAAACAACAGCTCTCACCCTTGTTCTCACTGTCATCCTCTTACATCCTCTTTCCATGTCTTTCTTTGTCCCACTTCTTCACCTCTGCTAACTAAAACCATGCAAGTGATTCTTTTCCAGGCCCCCAACAGAACCCAATGGAAACTGAGATGCGGAACCTCTGAGGATACAGCATCAGGTCTGTACATATTGTGCCATGGTCTCAGATTAATAATTAATCCTGGGAGCAAAGGGGAAGAGCTCATGGTAACAGTAAATGAAGAGAACTGCTGGCAAGGTATCCAGCATCATTCAGCATCACATGTGCCTGATCCTGGCAATTGTCTTCACCACAGAGAATTGAGCGCAAACTTGATCACACAGAAACAACCACTGCAGGCTGACTTTTCATTCTGGGGGCATGCTATTAAGACAAATACTCAAAATGCCTTCAAATGTCCATATTTTCCAATAAATATTAAAAAATGAAATATCAAAATTCCAAGGCAGTTGGCTTGAAGATCATAGAAAGAGTCATTCATGTAGGAGAATGGGAGACAGTGCATTCTCGCCTTCTAGAGATGTGGCAAGCAGTCATTCCACATGCACACTCAACTTTCTTCACCTGAGAAAAAGACTGAATCCTGGGTAAGGACACTAGTGCCCCAGTGATATCCTCCCAAAGGACTGACTTGTCCACCATGCCTTAAAGCAAGCCCACAAACACAAAACTAGAGAGTACATCGTCAGTCATAAAGCTTTAGATGATGTGATATGTACTACCTGTACCTCTTTGAGGAGAGAAGTATTGTTACTAGAAAAATCCATTTGGCTTGTCCTTCCAATAAGCCAAACTTCCCAATGACAGGAACCACGTCTGCTTTACCATCTGTAGTACAAGTTTCTGTGCTTGGATATGCTCTGAATAAATATTTCCTGAACATCAGTTTGGCACAATTAGACTATATATTAAACTTTTCACCATAAGTAGATAATGAATGGCAAGAGGCAATAAATTGAAAGGTACAGGTGCTCTCATAGGTCCTCATACACAAGAATGCCCACTTGGCTTTTCATTGCTGCCTGTACTGTTGGAATGAAAGGGTAACTGGCATCACAGTGCACCTGAAAGTCCTGGGGGTGGGGCCAGGTACAGCAGCTGGGAGACAGAATGTATAGAGGGTTCTGCCCCAATGGCCTATGTAACATACTATGCTCCTGGCCTTGCTTCCTTACTGTAAAAGGTGAGATCTACTTTAGGTTGTTTACTTGGGTTCTTCCTACCTCTAAAGGAGATTTGATGCTGTTAGTGCTATTTTTCACTACAGAATTCATTTTCAGCAAGCTTTCTACACAGTAGATATGCAAAATCTTTCTACAAAGTTTTCTTTTACCTAGTATTTCCAATGAAGAGCAAACATGCATATATGAGTTGTATCATTAGATATTTTAAGTGCTCAAAATGTACAACACTGATGTTCCTATTTAACATTAGAGATTTCAATGTTCTCATATTTATATTCAGAAAAGGAAATCGGGCTTAGATATACAATTAGAGGAACTTATTAATTCATATTTAATGAGATGACAAAAATGACACTATAGCAAGGAATATAAGGATTAAGCAAATTAATTAGATACAAAGTTCTCAGTCTCTAACGCTGGATTCCTAGTAAGTATAACTATTTGTCACCTTCTATGGTGCCAAACTTCAAAATGGATTTATTTTTCAAAAGGCTGGAGAATCGGGGGCAGGAGGATGAATTACAAATTAGCCGGGGATTGTTAGGATATAATTATGAACTGTCAACCACCACTATTCAATGATACTCAGACTTTTAAAGCTATTTTGTGAAAGAGAGAGAGAGAAAGAGAGCGAGAGAAAGACAGAAAGAAAGAAGGAAGACTAGGTCTTATCTAAACAACTACTTATGAAACTTAAGAAATGTACACAGTCATGGTTGAGTATTCAATAATACATTTCCAATGCAATGGTCTCTAAAAACAGCTGCACTCAAAAACAGAACAGAGAAAAAAATAAAAAACAAAACAATGGAGTGGCTTACTCTCCTGCTGATGAGCTAGCAGAGGATTCCTCTTTTGCATCAGGAGGGCTCAGGGTCTGCAAAGCACAATTACTTTTTCCAGCTGATGGGGTGTCTCTCTCTTGCTCAGCATGGATTAATGTTAAGGCCTCCATGCCACCTTCTCTCTCCATCTTGTTGCTTGGATTTGGCTGTAGTTCTGGGCTCTCTAAAATCAGATCATCATCACTTACAGAAACTGTGAGGTCACTACTGCTGCTCGAACTTTCCTCCTCCTCTTCCTGCATGTTTGTGAAGGGTTTTTGTGACTTTGGGTTCCCATGAGCAAGCTGATCTAAAAGAGGGGATATGAACAGTTACCAATCACTAACTTCAGGGAGAAGTCATTTAACACAGAGTGCAAGTACTCACTAGCTAAAACCACGCAGGAAAAATCCACAATTAGCTACCATATTTAAAATCTCAAAAATATTTTAAAATATATATTTTAAATATTACAGTGGATTTAAAATCAGCAAATTCACTGGCAAAGATATTTCCACATATTTATTTAAGAACTTATTAGAATGAAATTTGTTGGCAAAGTCACTGTTTTTTGACAAAAAGATAAAATTAGATCAGATCACTTACATCAGATCACTACTACCCAGAAAAACTAAATGCCAACAAAAATCAGCAAACAGACTCAGCCTCTCATCCCACCTGAGAAACCTTCCCAAGCAGAATGCTTCTCTTGAGACCACTTATTTCCAGAGGCACAGTATTCTGAAACTGATATCAGAGAGACTGGCGGGTCGGCTCTTTCTTCTTCGACTTCAATATGTTCCCGTGTCAGTATTTCTCCCTCTGATCCCTCTGATCTGCTGCAACTGTCACACTTTAAGTCGGTGGTTCTGTTCTCTGGGCTTAATCTTTCCTGCAGCGGGAAAGGGAGTTTGGCGGAATTTTTGCCTTCAGATAAATTGCTCTTGCTGTGACGTGTGTTGCTGCCTATCTCCAGGCAATGAGTTTGTTCCTCCTCAGACAATACACTGGCTGTGACTGGCGTCTTCTCACCAATCTGAAGAGATGCCTTTCCATCTATTTTGTCAGACTTATTTAAGCACTGTGTGTCACTGCTAGTCTGTACTACACCGCTGTCTGTCACATTACTGCTCTGGGCTGTCTGTCGGTGTGAATGTGGGTCAGAAATTGAAAAGTTCTTTGTGGGTTGGGGAGATTTCTGCTCTGTATGGAAATCTCCAATGCTTGAGACAGCTGACATTTGGCGGCCCATAAAGATTGTTGCCGGTTGATACAATCCTCTTGATATGGCTGTTTCTGAGTTAATTCCTGCCTGCACTGCAACCTGCAACACCAAAAGAGATGGGTGGTAAACATAGTGTGTATGAACAATTAGGTTTCTTCCAGAAATGAAAGGCAGTAAGGGAAGCATGACCACTGCAGTCAGTACCTACCATGTTGTATGAAACTCATGGCTCCCCACATGATGAATGAGCTTAAAACAATACAGTTCACATATTTAATTTTAATAATGATGATAGTTCACAAAGCAAACATAGTGAAGGAACTACACTTTTAAACAAAGAAATGTATGCTTCAAAGGGAAAGTGAAAAGATGATCTACAGGATGGGAGAAAATATTTGTAAATCATATAGCTGACAAGTGTCTAGTATCCAGAATATATAAAGAAGTCATACAACTAAATAATAAGAAGACAAGTAACCTAGTTAAAAATGGGAAAAGGATTTGAACAGATGTTTCTCCAAAGAAGATATGTGAATGGCCAATAATCACATAAAATGATGCTTAACATCATTACTTGCTAGGGAAATTAATTCAAAAGCACACTGAGATATCACTTTACCCAGTAGGATGGTTGTCTTATTCCATAGACTGGGTAGCTTATAAGTAACACAAATTTGTTTCTCACTGTTCTGGAGGCTGGGAAGTCCAAGATCAAGGTGCTAGCATATTCGTGGGCTGGTATGGGTCTGCTTTCTCACAGACAGTGCCTTTTCACTGTGTCCTCACATGGTGGAATGCACAACCAAACTCCCTGGAGCCTCTTTTATAAGGGTGTTACTCCCACTCATGAGGGCGCCAACTCCATCATCCAATCACCCCGGAATACTATCCCCTTGGAGGTTAAAATTCCAATAAATTAATGTTAGGGATACATAAACATTCAGATCATAGCAATGGCTATAAGAAAGATAGAAGTTTTAATTTAGGATCTTTAAGATGGAGAGTTCTCCTCTAGTAATTAGTAGAGACACAAGATGGAAATAAAGATTTTATTACTTACAGGTCTTGGGGGAGGTACACGGCACGCCTGGAGAACACACAGACACAAATGTCAAGAGAATCAGGCAGGGAGAGAGGAGAGAAAAGGGATCTATACCCTCACATGGTGGAAGGAAGGAAGGAAGGAAGGAAGGAAGGAAGGAAGGAAGGAAGGAAGGAAGGAAGGAAGGAAGGAAGGAAGGAAAGGACCCATGGGCCAATGTCTTTACTGAGTCCAGGCTGCTACCCAAACAGGTTTCCCATGGCAAACATGGGGAGTTTTAACTGGTGGGTTTAAAGCAAGCAGTCTTGAGTTCCAGGAGGTCACCCAGTGACTGAGAGGTGGTCATTATGGCATATCACTATGGTCCATGTGGGGTATGAGGGTTCACAGAGCCAGTTAAGCATGATGCATCTAGTTGTCCAGTAGGAAGGTGGCCACCAAGAAGCAGCTGTATATGACAGATATCTGGATCAACCAAACCAAGTAACTGGGGATTGGGGATGAAACTAGAAACTATTTCAGGGTGACTGAGTTCTACTCTAATACAAGAAAGTTCAACATATTTAAAATGGATGCCAAGGTAACATAACATTACAGGACTTCACTACAACAGGCAATAACACATGTTGTAGAGGACATGGAGAAATCAGAATCATCATGCATTGCTGGTGAGTATGTTAAAATGATGCAGTTACCTCAGAACTGTTTTTGGCAGTTCCTGAGAAACTTAAACAGAATTACCATCTTACTCAGCAATTCCATACCTAGGCATATATCCCCTGGAGAGAGGTAAAAACATATGTCTACATAAAATCTTGTATGAGGATGTTCACAGCAACATTATTCATACAAACCAAAAAGTAGAAATGACTCAAATGTCCATCATCTGACAACTAGGTGAACAAAATAGGATATATCCACACAATGGAATATTATTCAGCCATGAAAAGAAAACAGAAAACTGATACATACTACCATCATGGATGAACTTTTAAAAAAATTATGCTAAATGAGAGAAGTCAGTCACAAAAGATGACATATTATAAGATTTCATTCATAGGAAATGTCCAAAATTGGCATATTTTTAGAGACAGAAAGTAGTTAAGTGTGTCCCTATGGCTGGGAGCTGGATGGCAGGGGAGGGTGGTGGAGAGTGGAAGGAACGGGGGAGGTAGGGAGTGATTGCTAAAGGGCATGGGGCTTCTTTTTGAGCAATGAAAATACTCTCAAATTGATTGTGATGATGGTCACACAACTCTGTGAATGTAATAATAACCATAAAGCTGTCACAAAAAAGAGAACAAATGAACAAAAAATCCTTACAAAAGAAGTTATGCGGCCAATTTAAGATTCAGAAAGGTACATTTGTACCCATAAAGGGCAAAGAAGAGGAGTATGAAGGTCCAGCAGCATAAAAGTACAGAGGACCAAGGAAATCCTCCTCCCTCCATGACCCTTCAGTTCTCCACAGAGACAGTCACTCAGGTAAGCCGCTTGCAGAAAAGATCTGCATATACCAGCAAGTGTGTATGTGCCCAAAGGGTGGCAATACTATGCAGTGTAATTTTAACAGCTGCATGTCATCCTATTCTGCAGAATGTACCATAATTTCTGTAACTCGTCTGCTATGAAGGGACACTGGCTTGTTCCCAGCATTTATCACTCCAAACTAGGCTGCAGTGATTACCCTTAAGTGTATGTCTCTCTGCACACAGGTATGTACAACTGCAGGGTCCCTTCCTAGAACTGAAATTGCTGGGTCAAGCCTACCTTATAGGATACTGTCATTTTGCCATCCAAAGAGGCCATTAGGTCCTTTTAAAGACTTTTCCATTATACCATATAGTTTAAATAGCAAAATGATATTAATCAACATTTTGATTCACCATCTGAATAGTGTGATACAATGTGTCTTCTATTTCTTTCGTAATAAAAAAAACTGATATAGTAACAAAGGCAAATTTGAAAACAGACAAAAATCATCTATTATCACTACTTTAATCTAAAAACTACTTTCATTTGTCCTGTTCTCAACAACAAGTTGTTTAGATGCATGGCTCTGAGGGCTGGGCTACTTGGGGAGCTGGGGCAGGGGAGGGCCAGGCTTCAGGGCAGACATGCACTGTAGCCATTCAGTGGAGATTGTGGCCAATCAGTGATCAGACATGTAAGTCTGGGAGGCCTTTGTTCACTTTCAAAATCAGTTTAGAAAGTGTTAATGGACCGACACCTGAGCATGACTAAGCATATGGAGGACACAGCCATCCTAGGCAATTCCCTCTTTCTGATCTGCTAAAGCCCAAGACACAAAGCCAAAAGGTAGGGGCACCCCAGGTATAAGAAAGCCAGCTGGGGAGGGCAAAATCAAGTGCCCAGGAGTTACTTCTCTCAGCCAGTAATCCTCAAATGTCTCTGACCCACTGAGAGAGGTCAAACTGAACAGAGTCCAGAGAGCGAAGAACTAGAGAGAAAAAACAACAATTGAAATGGTGGCCTATACATCAAGAAAAGTAGCATGGAAGTAGCACAGAACCATGATTCAGTTAACAGTAAACACTTCCAGAACCACAGGAAGTGAAAACAGTGACCAATTCAAGAGACAGCACAGTTAAAAGAAGAGATTTACAGCCCTGCAAGTAGTTATTGAGTGTTCTGCAGTTTTGTCAACTATTGCCAGACTTCTTGAAATACTGAACTCTGGGTCTTCAACAAACTCTAGTAACCACAAATTAATGAGTACATTACACTTTAGTGGCCTGAAATCAGCGAGGAGCTACCAAAAGGCAGTCCTTAATTATGCATAAAAGTGAAAGTCTATGGACTGGTGCAACATTCATGACTAAGAACCAAAAAAGTCAACTTCCATCTGAGGATCTACTGTGATTCAACAGGAAGTTCTTCCTGCTATATTTCTTTTCTTTTCTTTTTTTTTGAGTCAGGCTCTCACTCTGTCACTCTGTCATCCAGGCTGATCACAATCACGGCTCACTGCAGTCTTGACCTCCTGGCTTCAGGCAAGCCCTCCACCTCAGTCTCCTGAGCAGCTGAGACTAAAGGCATGCACCATGTCTGTCTGATTTTTTATTTTTTGTAGAGACAACGTATCACTATGTTGCCTAGGCTGGTCTTGAACTCCTGGGCTCAAGTAATCCTACTGCCTTGGTCTCCCAAAGTGCTGGGATTAGAGGCATAAACCACTATGCCTGGACTGCTATATTTCTAGTTATTGCTGGTTTTAGTGTTAGGCAGCAGTAACTCTTCATTTATATATATTTTTTAATTTGTAGAGATGAGGTCTCTCTATGTTGCTCAGGCTGGACTTCAACTCCTGGGTTCCAGTGATCTTCCTGCCTCAGCCTCCCAAGTAGCTGGGACTACAGTTATGTCCCACTGTGCCCAGCTTTATTTTGATACAATTTAAACTTACAGTAACATTGCAAGAATCATATAAAACACTCCCCTAATACTCGTTAGCCAGATTCACCAAGTGTTTATGATTTGCCTCATTTGTTTAATCATTCTCTCTCCCTCTTCATATAGATGTGTGTGTATACTTATACACATGCATATCATTTTTTGGGGAATCATTTGAGGTTAAGTCAAGACACCTTGCCTCCCTACCACTAAACACTTTAGCATGTATTTCCAAAGCACAGGGTTATTCTTATTCTTGAGCAAAGTTCAAGATCAAAATAGGAAAATTTAACACTGATATAATCTTATTTTCAACTTCACAGTCACATTCAAGTCGTGTCAACTGTCTGAAGGATAAGCCAGTAACACAGTCCTTCATTGTCATTATCAAGCATTGCGCATGGCCCATGATAGCATGTGTTATACCTCTACACAGCTGGCCACCAAGCGGGTCTGTTTATATTAGCATTGCCACAACACCAGCATTGTGCTACAATGTTAGGTCACTCAATCTTGGATCAGGTGCTGCAACAGAGGACACTGAGGGAAAGACTGGACAATCTGAATGAAGTCTGGGATCTGCTTAACAACAATGTGCCTATGTTGTTGACTTAGTCTCAACAAGTGTGGCATAGCAATGCCA